CCCCAAAACCCCAAAACCCCAAAACCCCAAAACCCCGTAGATTATATTTAAATTGATATTAAATTTTCAAAAGGGAACGCAAATGGAGAAGGAGCAGAAGGCTCAGAAATTATTTGATAAGAAAGAGTACAAGCGAAGCTTGAATGTGTATGAAAAAGCCATCACAAACAGGTTTAAAGACTACCCACAAGACCTGGTTCAGTATAAGGAAGAAGCTCCTAGACCCAAGACAGCGTAAGTTCAAGACATAATCAAAATGCTCCCATTTTCTGCCACTTTGGCGATATTCTCGGGGCATTTTCATAATTAAATTGGGAATTACTTGCTTCTTGTGGCCTAATTCCAATTTTTAGCAAGCAGAGTAAATAAGGACCTTGAATCAAAACCTATGGTTATTAATATACAAGCAAAGAATGGAGATGAGGGAAAAGAGGATTCAGAAGCGCAGTTTAAATCCTTTGGTGATGATGAGCATAAGTCAGCAGGGCCTATAAAGGAAGAAGACAAGAAATTGCTTGAAGATACTGTGATAGACTTTAATAAAGTTGGCATGCAATTCCTGAGTAGTGGCAAAATTGAAGAAGCAAAGCTGATTTTGAGAAAATTGGTCCGTATTTGAAAGAATTATGCAAATCAAGATCTGAAGCTCATTTGACTCACTTTTAACAATATTAGTTGTGTTCATAAGAAATTAGGAGAGTTTCAAGTAGCAATGAAATTGCTGAAGAAAGCTTTGGCACATGCCGAAGACCTTAAAGCACACGAATACTTATCACTTACTTACATAAATTTGAGTGCGATATACTCTGAACTCAAAAAGTAACCTTTCTTCTCACCCTCTAGCCACCAAAAATCCCTTGAATATGCTAACAATGCAATCCAGATTCTTTCCAAAGAGATCAATGATATCACTGAGACCCTATTAACCAAGATCAAATTAGAAGAGTCTGAGAACTACAGCCCAGTGAAGCCTATCAATGAGGAGCAATCAGAAGAAGAAAAAGCCTTGGTCTCTTCCAAGAAGGAGAAGTCTTCCCTCTTAGCCATTGCCTTCTACAACGCTGGCTCCCAGCTGGAGTTCCTGAAGAATTATAGGGAATGAATTGACTGCTTCCAGAAAGCAATCCAGATTCTTGAGAAAAATTTTGCACCAAATTACCCCCTAACGCTTGAGTTCAAACGTAATTTGTTGAAGACCATCAACAAGTATAAGAAGCATATAGACTGGAAGGGAACCAGGAAGACCTTTAGCAATCTCTGTGCAGGGTATAAGAACAAGAGATTCTCTATGTCCCAGAACAGGCCTATTAGTGCAGCCAATTCCAAACTCAGGCAGCCCAAGTTGCAGAGTAAACCAGGTAGTTTTAAGAGGAAAAGAAGGCCTATCACAGCTAAGGCTAGAGTTCAGGACAATAAGCCTAAACTTCATGATTCTTTAGCAAATCCGTTTGGATCTCCTGAAAATGAAGAGACTTTATTCATGCTTGAGGAGCAACCTCATGATGAAAGTGGGGTTGTCGATAGCTCCAAGGCACAGGAATCCAAAGTCTTCGAGATACCAGAAGCTCAGAGAAAGATAAAGAAGGATAAGCCCATTTCCCCCATATTTGGCCATTCAAACCGATTTAAGCGTCCTCAGAGTGCCAAAAATGCGTTTAAAACTTTAAACACATTACGGAATAAATAAAGGAGATAGTCATGATTATGCAACTATCGAGCTAAAGAAAATATTCGAAAACTCCAAAGGCCTCAATATTCTTGCTAATTCTGAATCAGAATCGAAATTTTCGAAACCTCCTATAGGAAGTCGCGGAAAGAACAAGCTGAAAAAGAGGCCAGTCTTGAAGAAGTACGACAACTATGAATCAATAATGGAGCTGCATAAGTCAGAATTTGAACCAACTACTACACTGACTTCGCTGCCATCGAACAAAATCTTTGATTTCACCTCTAGGATGTCCTCCAAAATGGGAAAGAGGCGGCTCAGATTTGTAGGGGACCGGAAGAAAATCAGGGCTATTTCACAGCACAAAAGGGTAGGGTGAAGTCCATATACTTCAAGCCATTCTTCCAAAATCCAGGCTAAGAAGGTAAGCCTTGTTTGTTTACTTGGTAGAGGAAACTTAAAGCAAAAATTGATATCGCTAAGTTTAAAGGTAAGAGGAAGTCCTCAAAACATTCGGATTTTATGAAAAATGCTGAGACTCTCAAGGATATCAAACACCAAATCATGGATGATAATCACTACACAATTTATTAGAATCTCAATCCAGGCAAAATTTAAAGGGGTTTTGGGGTTTTGGGGTTTTGGGGTTTTGGGG